ATCGATTCTATTGCCAATAATCCCGAGGTATGAAGACCAAGATAGTGGACCTTTTGCGTGGTCGTAGTCTCCTTTCGTAGTATAGGAGTTGTTTGACCTTGTTTTCGCAACTTGATCATAATCATAAGAGGACTTAGAGGAACGCACCTAGTCCGGAGTTCATTGTATGCATGATAATTTCCAGTCGGACAGTGGACGTGGTACATTATGAGATATTTCGAAGGCATCGTTAGTGAGCCCTGCCATTCTTAGCACCGCATTAGAACTCGTCAAAGAGATAAATTACCTGATCCTTTGACCAATTTTCTGCTAAACAATCGTAGTATCTCTTCTTCTGCCCTGGGCTACTCACCAATCCTATATTCTCGTATCACCTCTACACTATAACTTTTTTTCTTTACTTTTTTAAATGTAGTATGATGTGCCCTCTTGAGTGGCTTTTATGAGAACTCTCCACACTCCACTCTGGCTTTCTCACCCCCCTCATCCCTTTTCATACTTATACTGGGAATGTTGATCAGAGTCTGTCATATTGTTACGCAGTCCTCCTTCTCGGGGCTAGAACCCCTCAGTAATTCCGATGGTCAGATCATTGGTTCATGGACCACGTCTATGGTAAAACAGACCTACTGTCAACCAACTAACTCTAGTCTCCGCCACGTCTATCCTGTTTATACGTAATACCAAGTCTTACTTCATATGTCCTAGTCTCTTGTGTACCAACCATGTTGTGGTTCAACATTGAACCTAATCAAGGCAAGCAAGTTGCGAAAATAAGGTCAAACAACTTCAATCCAGAGGTAGCTTGGAAGGCCGGCCTCTTAAAACCGTATGGACATGAAACTCACATTTAGTCGCTTTGGTTTGAGTACAGGCTTAACACAAGTCTCATGAACTTGTTATTGAATATAAAGTTATTAACTCGAGATTTGTACTGACTGATGTATCGCAATATTTATTCGTTCTTACAAGCCTTGTAAGCTTTGAACCTTATATGAGATATATTCACTCTATCTAGTTTAAGGTGATGATGGACTGGTAGTTTAATTTTCCCGCAAATTTATTAGTAGAGCTGACTTTTATATTGAATTTCAGGCGGCCTTGATTTCACATAGATTGTTCTCATTCGGAATGTACTGCAGTTTCGACCTTGCCTAGGTCTTATCAACACCCTCAGCGTCACCCGAACCATGACAGTGCAGCATATAGTCTCTACATGTTGACCAATACGCCACACTTGCGAAGTTTTTCGTTTATGAGTACTAGTCGACCAGATGTGTGCTGGATA